TTCATAAAAATACATCCGTGATTTTCATGTGTTTTTCAGATACACAAGTATATTCACAAACAGACAGAATAAATTCCACAAATACCGGAACACGTAAAAATCACAAGTATGTGATTTAACTCCAAAAATATGTATTTGCTGACATCAGTCCTGGAACTTTTCAGACACACGTTTTTTTTTTTTGGAGGACCAGATGACACACAGGTAGAAACATGGGAGTGCCTTCAGTTGTCACTCACACAAACACGCCAGGCTGCCCCTGATCATTATTCTTGGCTTTCCGCGGAAGGGCGGATGGGAAAATTGTGATGTCATCAACCTTGGCGCAACGGGATGCTGGAGCACGCTGGCCCTCGGGGTGCCACGTTCGGTGCCACGTTTGGTGTTTGTGCCCTGTAGATGGTGAAATCAACGGTCCGGTGCTGCCCGCCTGCGCTGCACCTGCGTCCCAGCATGCTGATTGATCAGTCTGGTCATGTGGAATGTCACCATCTGCTCCCCAGTCCCACTCACCCCTTCTTGTGCGAATGCCAATCACTGGCAGGAAGATACTTATTTAAGCCATGTCAAACCAGGCGCATGACGAAGAGCATCGTGCCAACTGCAACTTGTGCATAGTGTGCACAATATCTCACAAAAAAGAGGAACAAAGAATCCTTTTTTTAAATTGTGCTGTAGAAGCGATTGCGCATCTGTGAAATTATTCTAAAAGGCTGCGATAGCCTGCCAAAATTCAACAATCTGTGGTGGTCATAATGGCACGATTGTGGGAATGTGCTTTTATCTGTCGTCCTTAAACAGGTTTAATCCAATTTAACTGAATGTTAAGCTTCGCAGCGTCTTTTTTTTTTTTTTTACCCCCTCCTCTCCTCTCAGATGCTCATTTTTTTTTCGGCCTCATAATGGCCAGCGACATAATCATGGGGCCATCAGGAGTGACATTCTTCAATGTAGAGCGTCATAATCAATGACATTTCAGCCATGGGAAAATAAAGATATGCAAATTTGAACTCATTAACATTTGCATTACCTGTTTGAATAATCGCACCCCCTGACAAGACCGCAATTAGCTAAGATTGATGCAAAGTTCAGGGTTAGGGGACTGTATATATTTGCTCTTGGATCATTTATCCGCAGGGTTTGGCTATGTGTGTGCGTGCCGACTATCTAAGATGAGAAAACTGATCTCTGTCAGTGGAAAAGGTCACGCGGGAGCTGCTGGTGTTCTTGGCTCGGTTTGATGAGGAAGAAAAACTCGATATTAAATTGATGTTGGACACGACTCGTTCTGTTTTTAAACAACAAATCAAAATCCAAGTACTCCTTCGTAATTAAGTGGAATGAGAAAGATGGAGAGCTTGACCTGCTAACCCAGTTAACACTAGCGTGAAGAGTCAGGATTAGAATTTGTGGTCGACACAGCTCACCTCCTGACGAGATTGAGATCAACGCAGCACAGTTTGATTTCAGTCAATAGTGCTGGCTGACAAAGTGCTCTTTCATGTTACCCTGAAGGTCAGTCGTGGATCTTAAACATAGGCAGTCCCTTGAATGAAAAACACTTTGAGGACGGATGTCAGCCCACAACCTCGGAACTGCGAGGCAGTTACGCTACAAATGAAAAACTGCAAGCATGGGCGTGCCTTCTTGTGCTATTCATAGCGACGTGTTGCTATTCCGCTGCGCTAAATTAGTTCATTATGCGCCGTTGGTGATCTTGAAACATTGCATTTTGGTACCATCAAAAACTACAGTAGAGTAGAACCTAAAAAGGTAGAGCAGGATTTATTCTGTGGCACTGGTCCAAACTATTCCCTGATAGAATACAACTGAAACATAATTATTTTCTTTTTAAGGCCGACTGTCACCACTACACCGATTGAATTAATCATCCCAGTAATGTTTGAAGTGAGGTTTTAACATGTGTAACTGCATTTGTGTTTTAAAATCGCTGAAACAAATCTGAAATAAAATCTCACTAGAGACTCTTTGATTCCGCATGAAGACAATTTAATTTGATTAAGCTTGTCTTTAGTCATTGTTGGAGCAACTTCATATTATTGTTTTTAGTCAACAATATTTATATTGAAACCTTTATTGTACCACCTCAAGTGCCACCTTATTTTTTTTCCCTATAAATCAAAGAAGATACCCAAAAAACACAAATGAGTCGACATAAAAACACATCCAGCTCAGGATGGTACTGAACACAGTTAATATATTTAATGCTTATTTTGTTGACTATTTCATTGTGTTTTGTTGTTTTCAATTGAATTACAACAGGGGTGTCAAACTCATTTTTGTCGCGGGCCACATTGTAGTTATGGTTTCCCTTGGAGGGCCGTTATGAATTTTGGGAAACCATATAAATGTTTAATCACCTCCACATACTACATGCAAAGCGCAGAATAAATTGATGGATAACTAGTTTTAAAATAAGATGTCAAGAATAATGACTGTTATTGTGGATTACATATGACAATTTGAAATTTTGGTTAAGACTTTAGCAAGCACCATGAAAACTTGACATGCTTTTTTTGCTTTCGTGGACCACATAAAATGATGTGGCGGGCCAGATCTGGCCCCCGGGCCTTGACTTTGACATCTGTGAATTACAAGAATGTGTGTGGCAGCTCTAAATGTGATGATCTCTTTAAAATTCAATCGCACCTTACCTACATTATTCGTGTAGTATAAAATCTCATGAATAACTACCTTTAACTTTTTTTTTGGGGGGGGGGTGTCAAAAAATGATCCTAAATAGAGGTAGAATATTAGAGGGGGCTTAATAAGAAACAGAAAGGTAACTCGGGTTGTTAAAATAAAACTGAATCACATATTTATAGCGCATTTCATACACAACATAACTCAATATGCATCACATATTGTGATTAAAGTACACTTTTAATCACACACACACTTTTAAAAGCAGTAAAATTTCAAAGCAAAGTAAAAAACTAAAAGAAAATAGCTTACTAAAAAAACTGTTTGAGAACATGATTTTAAAAATAATTTGAAACTCCTTAATTATATGTATGGGTAAAGAGCATAGTTTTTCACCCAGATTTAAAAGCACTGACACTTTATTTGGATATTTTGAATCTTTATCCATATTATTCAATCTGAAAATCAAGGATACCGAGTAACACAAGTACAGAAAAGGAAAAAAAAGGGTTTAAGGGTGAGTTTGGGGAGCGAATTATACACGGGTGCGTGTGATTCATGATATTTTACGGTACGATGATACTAATTTGAATGCTAAAGTGTGTTTATTAGCATAGGAATTTCCAAGTAAACGTGTCAGCTTTTTTGGGAGACATGTCAGCGTACGTTATCGCATCGGACTTCGGGTTTAACTTCCTCGCGGAAGTCTGCGTGTTAATGTGCCACCCATTTGCCGTTCACCCAGACAGAGTGAAGGACCTTTAACCCGGCCGCCACACACGTGCCTACAACCTTGATTCTATTTGTAAATGTGGGTCAGACAAGGCTGTGTTATCCCCCGTTTACCTGTCTAAAAGGGGCTAATCTTTATGTCGCCATCGCTGCTTTCTGCTCTAAGGGCGGCTCGCTCCGGCTTGATTTTATGCAAACACTTTGCGACTTGCAGAGTAACTCAAAAGGACATTGTGATATTTTGCCATCGACGCTATAATTTAACGCAACATACTTTTGTTTTAACATACTTATCAACCCCCCGTTGTGTTTTTCCGGCAACAAGAGTAGGATTTAACGTCTTCCTTAACCTTTTCATGAACAAATAATAATAACCTACAGCAGGAATTTTTTTCCTCGAGTGTTTTTAATAAAAACTTTTTATTAGTCTTTAGGCATGAAAAAAAATAATGGCAGTGGATGGCAAAACACATAAGGGTCCATTGTAGTGGTTGATGCACAATTGTGACATTAAGATTAATTAATATAAGAGAAAACAAATTGTGAATAGCTGTCCACTCTAGTAAATCACTGTACCTGAAAGGGATAAAAACACTTTTTATGTGCGATTCAATACTGCAGAAGTAAATGTCGTCACAGTCATCTCTGTACAGTATTTTGTATAAGTTTTCCATGCTAATAAGAAATGTCTGAACACAAATGTTTATGTACACTGTGCCCCAAATGAGTTTGCAACTCGAATTTGAGTGAAATGAACATTTACGATAGAATTTTTCTTTGGAGATTTTTGCACATGCAAATTTGTTTCTCTCTGTTTAGATCACTGATATCAGTCTTTCACATGTCTGATATTTGGTTTCCCAAATTGAACTTACTTCAGGCTACAGTATTGCTTCAATCAGTCTCAGTTTTCATGCATAATGGGGTGGAAAAAGATCATTTTGTTGATAAAGAGCATGACCTAGTCCAATGCCTTGCCAAAGGATTGAAAACACTGGACATTTTAAGAACCCTTGCTCAAGATCAACAAATTGTGATTCAAAGTTTCAGCCAAGAAAATGCATTGCATTAAAAGACTAACTCCAGTATTTATCTCTAAAGTGCCCAAAATGATCTTATCTAAACACTCTCTATTCAGGATCCACCAACAACTTGAAATAGTGCTTTAAAGTGTGTATTTCCTCTTCAGATTTGATAAAGGAGCCAAGATAAGAATGTTGATCGTGTGTAGGTGGGGAATTCCCTCACTATGACATAATTAATTATTTTTTATGAATTTCACAGGGAACAATTTAGTGTGAATCGAACTATTGCGCCACACGAATGCACACCTAAGCGAAATTCATTTGTGAATGTTGCAATGGAAGTCTGTGGGAAGGGAGGGGGGGGGGCTGCTGATCATTGTCCTAACCGTGCATCAACTGAAGTAATAACATCCTCTCTTGGCCACCCCTCTCTACTCCTTGTTATGGTCCAGCCCTTATTTGCATACGTCGTCTGTGGGTAGCTGCACTACCAGCAGGGGTAGATTAGGCGAGGGAAGTGCCAAGAGCACCGTATACACATGAGTCGAGACACCGAGTGACCGACCGACCGACCGAACGACCGACGGACGAAACTGACACTGTGTGGACTGTACTGTGAAAAAGCAGCAGAGTTATGTACTGTGCTCATCCTGTCTCAGGCGCGGGCAGCAACTCACTGATGTATTGCTACAACATGAAGCCCGTGAGTACAATTCTTGTGTGCATCTTTACCTGGGGAGAGTCATTTGGAATCGCGTGTGTGTGATGCTTGTGTACTTTAGTGTACTGTTGTGTTTTAGTATTGCCTTTCACAAGAGCTTTGTTTTGTTGCAGTGTGAGTGTGTGTGTGTGTGTGTGTGTGTGTGTGTTTTATATATATATATATA